TGGGCAACCATTGGGCGGTATATAAATAAATTTTATTATTATTATTAATACCTGAAAGAGACCAGATGCCATTTGATTTTGAATGCTAAGCAGCCCTGGTTAGTACTTGGATGGGAGACCACCACAGAATACTAGGTGCTGTTAGCTATATTTTAAAGGAAGTCAATGGCAAACCACCTCTGAGTATTCCCTGCCTAAAGAAAACCCTATGAAAGTTATGGGGTTGCTAGAAGTTGACAGGTGACTTGAAGGTGCATGCACATACAACTTCTAGTAATCACTTTTTCTTTTTACAATCGCCCCCCTGTGGGTAGAAAGGTAATTTGATGACATTTGGTTCTTGTGGCAGAGCTCACATTCCCAGATGAAGAATATAGGTGAGTGAATGTGACCCTCTTGACCTAAGTGCCCAGACGTCATCACTGTAAAGGAGGATAAGGCAATGCAAAACGCAGGACATTCAAGAGAAATGCAGAGTGTTACAAAAAACACTAATATAACTCTCAGTCATGCTCAAAATGGAGGACATTTTGGAATTCCTCCTGGACAGAAGGTTGAAATGTAGGACATGTCCTGGAAAGGAAGACGTCTAGTCACTTGATCTTGAACTGCTGTGACCCACAAAATCACTCAAAATGTCGAAGTTTCATGACTGTGCATATATTGGCAGACAACTGGTGGTAGTCTATAAAGCTTAAGGTGGTTCTGAATTCCTTTGTTTCCTTGTTTAGCTCAGCCTCTGGCTGCTTCTGCACTGCAAATAATCCAGGCGGGTACCATTTTCACTGCTATGGCTCAATGCTATGAAATTCTGGGAAATGTAGTTTGTTGTGGCACCAGAGCTCTCTGACAAAGAAGGCTAAATTTCTCACAAAACTACAGTTCCCAGAGTTCCATAGCATTGTGCCAGGACAGTGAAAGTGTTGTCATCCTGGATTATTTCTGCAGTATGGATGCAGGCTAAATCTCCACAGGTAGTTCAGAGTCTCTATGTGTTGTGTGCCTTCAAGTTCTTTCTGACTTATGGTGACAACCATCACAGGGTTTTCTTGGCATGATTTGTTCAGAGGAGGTTTGTCATTGCCTTCCCCTGAGGCTGAGAGAGTGTGACTTGCACAAGGACACCCAGTGAGTTTCATGGTTGAATGGGAATCGAACCCTGACCTCTGGAGTCATAGCCCAACACTCAAACCACTACACCAGCTCCGACCAAACTACCTCAAGGACTAGAAAACCATGGCCTCACAGCAAAAACCAGGCTTGGTGGTTGCTCAAGATCAGTCCCTGTGATGGCAAGAGGGCTGAAGGAAGGGTGAGGGTTAGGGTTAGGTTAGTGCAAGTTCAATATTTCCCCCACTCTGTGGTCCCAAACTCAAGATGAGGGCTGAGTTAAATGACCACAAGGACACCCACCAGACCAGTTCCTGTGACAACTCTGGATGGAAAAGTCCCAGGTTTGAGTCTAAACTTAAATACAATAGGAGGGCAACAGTAACTTTTTTTTGGGTGTATCTACACTGCAGAATTAAAGCAGTTTGTGACCCCACTTTAACTGCCATGACTCTATCCTACAGAAACTTGGGATCTGTAGTTTGGTGAGCTATTCAGCCTAGTCCAGGGTGACCAGATGTCCTAACCGCAAGACACCACAAAATGTAGAACATTCAAGAAAAATGCCAGACATTACAAAATAAAAGCTAAACTCATATACATGTACATTTTATGCTCAAAATGGAGGACATTTTGGAATTCCTCCTGGAGAGGAGGTTGAAATGTAGGACATGTTCTGGAAAAGGAGGGCATCTGGTCACCCTGGCCTGGCAGCGAGCTGTGGTGCCTCACCAAACTACAAATCCCAGGATTCTGTAGGAAAGAATCATGGCAGCTAAAGTGGGGTCAAACTGCTTTAATTCTACACCCTCCCATTTGCCATGAACACTCATTTCCAAGCAGAGAGAGCCAAGCTGGGAAGCCAAAGGGCAGTGAGGGGCTTGGAAACTTCGGGTACCTCCACACTGCAGAAATAATCCGGTTTGACACCACTTTAAACTTCCATGGAAGTGCTATGGAGTTCTGGGATTTGTAGTTTATTGTGGCACCAGAGCTCTCTGACAGAGAAGGCTAAATGTCTCACAAAACAAAATCCCAGAATTCCCTACCATTGAGCCATGGCAGTTAAAGTGGTGTCAAACCGGATCATTTCTGCAGTGCGGATGCAGCCAAGAACGTGAAGAAGAGAAACCGAAAGCTGGACTACAGAGAGCAGAGGCTGCCTGGGAGAACCATAAACAGCCCCTGACACGTTTATGAGAGGAGGGCATAAAAACACCAAAGTCATCTCTCTCTTTTTGCGCTGAAAAGATGCTAAATGTCCCCCCACTTTTGAAAGCGCCATCATTGGCAACTCTCCGTCCGTCTCTCTTGGCCAGAACCGTCTCGCCTGGGCATTGTGCCTTTCTTTTCAAGGCGATGCCAGGGAAAGAGCTGGCAGAAAGACTTGACAACCTTTGTTTGGCTTTCAATTGCTAGTTCCCGTTGCACCCAGTGGGTGGTTTTGAGGGCAGCTTGCTTAAGGCTTGCAGTGAGAGGGATTGGGGTCACCCCTTTTTTTCCCCCCTGAAGTTCTGTTTCCAACTTTTCTCTCTTGAAATAGTATTAAATCTAGGGTCCCATCCACACTGCAAACAATCCAGTTTGAGACCGCTTTAACTGCCCTGGTTCAATGCTAGGGAACTGTAGTTCTGTGGAACATTTATCCTTCTCTGTCAGAGAGCTCTGATGCCACAATAAACTACAATTTCCAGTATTCCCTAGCATTCAGCCAGGGCAGTTAAAGCGGTCTCAAACTGGATTATTTCTGCAGTGTGTTTTGGGCCCAGGAAAGCATATCCCTCAACATCTTAGGCTCAAGATCCCTTTGAATACTGATTTTCCAGACTAACATGTCTCCAAATGAGAAACACGCATCTTCAAAAAGCATCTTTACTTCTTGGTCCATGCGGCTGATGAAGGCTGCATCCACACTGCAGAGATAATGCAGTTTGACACCACTTTCAATTGCCATAGCTCCGTGCTAGGGAATTCTGGGAACTGTAGTTTGTTGTGGCACCAGAGCACTCTGACAAAAAAGGTTCAATGACTCACAAAACTACAACTCCTAGAATCCCATAGCATTGAGCCATGGCAGTTAAAACTGATGTCAAACTGCATTATTTCTGCAGTGGGGATGCAGCCTTAAAAAGCCACAGCTACTTTCGCACATCTGATTCCTAACACCTTTGCCTGATGAAGAAGCCATTTGGAAGAGCTTCGAAAGGTTGAGTCAAGTATTTTGCCCACTTTGGTTGGCCCCATAAAGGTATCACTGTTTTGTGGATTATGGGTATTATCCTATTTTTACTTTTACTTTGGCACAGTGAGTCTCAGAGGTGCTCCAAGTTCTCCAAGGGAAAAAGAAGTGCTCCAAGGGAAAAAGGGATGGCAG